TTTTTTTTTTTTTTTTTTTTTTTTTTCTCAGCTCATCGTCGACTCCGCCGCCGATAATGGGACGCGTCGCGCGCGGGGCTACCGGCCGACCGATTCATTGCCAAAAATATTTTCGTACGAGAATAACGTCGCCGAGATATCCAATACGCGTACGTCGCGTCGCGTCACGTCACGCGGAGGCGTCACCGTACGGACTGCGGCGCGAGCCGTCCGCGTTCCGGCAAACTAGTTTTGCGTTTTTTCGCGTCGTACACGCCACGACAATACGGTAAACGGATACCCGACCTACTCGCCGGCGCATAAAACGCGCGATACGTTCCGCGCGAAAAGGACGCGGCCGTCCGAGAAAACTCGTTTTTATTACGTATTTTTTTTTATTATTTTTTTTTTTTTTTATTATTATTCAAATATTATTCCGCGTTTTCAGCGGCTGTGCTCGCAGTATTAACGCGCACCGCGCAGCGGCGTCCGGCAATCGGCCGCGAAACGTTACCTACTAACAACAATATTTATAATCCGTGCGCACGGTCAACCCGAACGGTGTTGCGCCGACGTCCGCGTCGTCGTCGAAAAAAATTTATCTCGCGCCGGACGAGCGACAAAACCAAAGGGCGACGGGAAACGCGATTACGACGCCTTTACAGAAAAAAAAAAAAAAAACCGCGTAGATACGCAATACGCCCAGCAGTCTCGGGAGAACGCACGACGGTGCGTTTGCGTCCGACGTGACCGTGCGTCGGTTTTTTTTCCTCGATAATTTTCATTTTCCACCGAGATGTTTTTATGAGTTTTCTCCGGTAGGCGATCGCGTACAAACGGCTTTCTTACTCGCCGACTCAGAGGCGTGCCCGGGGGTTCTGACCACCCCCTGGTCGACTTTCTCAATTGTTTAACGTTATTTGTTTTTTTTTTTTTTTTTTTATAAAATAATAAACGTTTGTGACGATACATTTTATGCAAACACGAGGAAAAAGTACTTGAAATCTTAATTACTCTTCCAGTATCAACTGCCACAGCAGAACGGCCTTTTTCGAGTTTACGTCACATATAAAAAAATACTTGAGATTAACTACCGGTGACGGCTGTATCCGAGTCTCGTTGGAAAATGTAAATTTTGAATTTGAGGATAGACTGTAATTCCTTCCCGTGTAATTTATTTAATTTTACGATTTTCCGTCCCTGTGTGCGTTTTCTACGATAAAATTTACGACCATGACGACATAACGATTTTACATTATTTAGAAATAAAGATAATACGCACTATTTAAACTTTTACACTTTCCAGTCATTAATTGTGGGCCTCCGTGTCTGAATTTATTGTTTTTTATCGCACTGACATATAGTAATATTGTATTACTTCAGTTGACCTTGTTTTTATTAGAGACGGGATCGGTATAACGGAATTGTATACTGATTCGTACCCGGGACGGAATCGGTGTATAATTGCTTTTCCGGTGTGGCCCAAACGGCTCAAACACACTGTTTTTTCCCAGACGGCTCCCGTATATTCGGTACTACGCGTACGTTTCTCGTGACAAAACAAGTACGGAGGCAACGCAGCAGAAAACGTCACGTGTCACGGGTATCTTATTTCTGTACGATAAAGAGTGCTGCATTGAATCTATTAAAATGATTGTAGTTTGGATTTTACGTTTCGAACTGCAGTACAGTATACCTATTGTTGCTAAACGAACTTTATCGAGTTTGTCGAATTTTATCAATTTTGTTGACATGCGATATGGACATTGCACATTTTGGGTAGTTGTGAATTCGTGTTGTAAAAAACCTGAGCCGTTTGGGCATTTTCCTTTTTGTAAAACGGCATCCGAATTGGCTACGTCTTTTTTTTTTCACCCGGGACAGAATCGGTATAAAAAAAACAGGTCATTGGGACGGAACACCGAACTCGGATGCAGCTCCGGTGAAAACCGACTCACAGGATTAACTCTTCCTAATGACAATTCCAGTAAACCAAACAAAGTAGTTTCAAAATTTGCTTCGCCTTCAAACAGGACGGATTTCATTTTATCATTTTTTTTTAACTCTGATTAAGTTATTATTATTATTATTATTATTATTACTTTTTGTACATTATACATCAATGTAGGTACTACATAGTACAAACTGTGTAGACAATTATGTAAAACTAATGGTTTTTTAACATTTTAATTTTTTTTTATTATAATTTTTTACATTTTATACGTGCTATTTTTATTATTTACAGTTATAACTTTATATGGTTAACTGTTAATAATTTATCTATAATATTTAACAGCAATATAAAAATATTACTTTCTTCATGAATACACTCATACAGATTTTTAATGACGTAGTTGTAAATTTGGTATTAACGTTAAAAAATTAAAACCACCCCCAATATAAAATCCCGGGCATGCCTCTGCGGCCAACTAAATATATACTTATGAAAGCGACAAAAATGTTGTTTTTCTATATTGGAGCGATTTTTCTGGTAGAAAACATAAGCCGTAAAAGAATTTGAAATAAAGGAATCGCGACGTCGCAAATTTATCAGTTTACATTTTTCGCCTTTTTTTTTTGGTTTTTCCTAATTATTAAGAAAGCTACTGGAAAAATTTAAAAACGACCTTCTCGGTACTAACCAGATACAATTTCTTGATACGTCGAAACGAGATTTCTGGTGGAAATTGTGTACACAGTATAAAAAAAAATTACCTTATAAAACAATTAAAAAATAAAATAAAACCAAAACATTCCTCGCTACGTTCCGAATCTGCAATATAAAACAGAATGACATATGCAGATAGCCAGTGGCGGATCCAGAGGAGGGTTCATGGGCATGAGGTCCCCCCCTGCAAAAAGCAAAACGATTAGAGTGGGCTAACTATGTTTGGCGGGCTGATGAAAGTGTCTTATACGAAATGTCACGATTCGAAACCCCACAAAAAAGCGACCCAGGGAAATACCTCGTCAGCGAGTGAAGAGTGAAGAAAGATATTTCAGATACCGATGAGCCAAAGTGATGGGAGGATGCAATGGACCGGAATGTACGGAGAAGTTTGGCGGATGCGTGCAAAAGGCCTTAATGGCCCGCGTACAGTACTTTAGGGAAAAAAATATCTAACGCAAAAAAGTCACTATATTGACCATAGATATAATTTAATAATACTATTACTGCTATTGTATTTTAGAAACCATTGATATTTTACCGGAATATTATGGTCCGCATTTTTGTGTTCCAGAAAATATTGCAGCAGTCTGAAATATTCCGTTCCGAATTTGTATAGCCCTGCTCCTACCAACATTTTACAAAGAATAGTATTTGACTGTATTACATGAATTCAACTAACGGCTTTTTTTTTGTCTACATATTTAAATTTTTTAATAAGATATTAAAATTAATACACGCGTGTCCATTGATGACGGAAAAATAATGCGAAAATATTAAATAAATCATTCGGCAGTAATTTTCGAACCGTAGTCAGCGTAATAATAATAAAATCGCAAACGCTTGAAATTATTTCGAATTCATACGGCGACATTCGATCGGTTATAATATGATACGCC